TGTGGGATAGTCAATCTTAGTCATAATTCTGAATTTCTCTCTTATCCAATGATAAAATAGTCCAATCAATGACAACGGGACGCTCATATCTGGATTTTAGATCTTGTTCCTTGAATCTGATCCACTTGTTTTAGGTTTAGCTACTAAGTCCTTCAACCCATTTCAGATTGTAATTCGTCTTGTTACTTCTGAGATGCTCAACTATTGTTTTTCAGAGGAGAAACTTTGAACTTTTCTCCCCCTAGTTACTTCCCTTTATTTCATTTATTTCCTGTTTATTGGTCTGAATTATAATTGTTAATGAGCTATCCTGTTCTTCTCGCGTTGACATCGCCATGCTAGATAGAAATTAAATTCACATGGGAGTAGACATGTAATATTTGAGCAGTTATATGTTTATTAGAATGTTATAAACGGGAGCTTGAGGGAGAGATTAGCATCAAATTTATTAGGAATAATTAACACCCTATGGTTTTTGTTCTCTATCCAGTAATGGCAACTTTTACGACTTCTCCCAGCGTTCGGCAGGAAAAATGATGTTTTTGTCAGTTTTAGAGGTCCAGACACCAGACGTAGATTTGTTGCCATTTGAGAAAGCAGTTTCGACAAAAGGGCATAGAGGTTTATGTTGATGAGACGGCAGAGAGAGGAGATACAATATCACCTGCACTTTCAGAAGCAATAGAAAGATCAAGAATTGCGCTGGTGATATTCTCTGAAAACTATGCTTCTTCAAGGTGGTGCTTAGAAGAGCTAGTGAAAATCATGCAATGCAGGCAAGACCATAGTCAGATTGTAATTCCAGTTTTCTATGATATAGACCCATCAAATGTTAGGCGTCAAAAAGGATCGTATGAAGGTGCATTTGTTCAGCATCGTAACTGCAGAGTTGATTCAAGGAAGTTGCAAGATTGGAGATCGGTCTTAAAAGAAACTGCAGACATATTTGGTTATCATAATTCCTCAAATTTTCGGTAAGATGTTTTCCTCTTTCTATTAATTATTAGACAAATCTTGTCACAATTTATGTATTGTAAATTTTTCCCATGAACAGTTAAAAATAATTATATCTATGCTTATATTATTGATAACTAAATCTATGCATTTATGATTTTTAACAATGTACCGTGTGATTTTTTTTTTTTTTTGAAAAAACAACTTCTTTCTTTTAACATGTCAGGGATGAAGCTGACCTTATTGATGAAATAATCAAAGATGTATGCAAAAAGCTAGAAGGTAAAGGTAAAGACACAGTGGAGCCAAAGGACCATATTGGAATTGAGAAAAATTTGACTCCTATTGAATTATTTATGGAAGATGAATCACATGAAGTTAGAGTTTTAGGAATTTGGGGTAAAGGAGGAATAGGCAAAACCACCTTAGCTCATGCCACATTTGATAACTTTTACCACCAATTTGATAGGTCTTACTTTGCTGAAAATGTGAGAGAGAAATCAAAAAAGATTGGAATGGATTGTTTGCTTGAAGAAATTCTCTCTGTTCTACTAGATGAAGAAAAGCCCCGAATGGTTGGAAAGCCTAATATTCAAAGGAGGCTACGTAGAACAAGAGTTCTTCTAGTTCTTGATGATGTAGACACCTCCAGTCAATTACAATATCTTATTGATGAAAATCTTTCATTGGGACCAAGTAGCAAAGTCATCATAACAAGTAGAGACAGGCATGTTCTTATTAGTGGAGGAGCTCATGAAGTACATGAGGTGAAAGAATTAGGCAAGGAAGAATCGCTTCAACTTTTTTGCTGGCATGCTTTCAAGCAAGGCCATCCCGAACAAGGATATGAAAAGTTATCAATGCAGGTAATTGAATATGCAAAAGGTCTTCCTCTGGCATTAAAAGTTTTGGGTTCATATTTGAACTCTAGAAATACAGAAGCATGGGAGAGTGCCCTTAAAAATTGAGAAAGAATCCAAATAGGAAAATTCATGATGCATTAGGGTGAGCTATGATGGACTTGATACCCAGAAAGGAGATATTTTTAAATATTGCATTCTTCTCTCGGGGGAGAAAAGAAAGAAGATATTATGAGGGTGCTAGACGCTTGTGATGATGACCTCTACGTGGACATTGGAATAGATACGCTTCTGGATAAAGCACTCATAACCATTTCAAGTCACAATGGAGTAGAAATTCATGATATGCTACAAGAAATGGCTGAAGAAATAGTTCGTGAAGAATCTAGAGAGCACCCTGAAAGTCGAAGTCGATTAAATGATGCAAAAGAAGTTCAAGATATACTGGAAAATAACAAGGTAAAATGAAGGATGCTTTAACTTTCTTTTTTATTCATTAAATTATTTCAGTAAAAGAATTTTTACACGCCACTTGTTTAATATATTATTTGAATTTTGTTATTTTCTAGGGAACTAATATAATTGAAGGCATCGCATTGAACACATGTGAGTTAAAAAGCAACATACGCCTGAGTGCTGACGGCTTTAGTAGAATGAGTAATTTAAAATTTCTCAAGATTAATTCTTATTTTCGAGACAAATATCAAGTGCTTTGTCCCTTTGGTCTAGAGTCACTTCCTGATAAACTAAGATATTTTTGTTGGGAAAGTTATCCATTGGAGACTCTACCGCTTGGTTTTTGTGCAAAGAATCTTGTTGAAATCCAACTGCCTTCTAGCAAACTTGTAAAACTATGGGATGGTGCGCAGGTATGGCTATATATTAATGCACATTTCATTTCTTTAGCCTAATTGAATTGTGAGGGCTTTTCTGGTAACTTTTCTCTTTTAATTGTCACAGGATCTTATGAATTTGAAGAAAATAAATCTTGCCTGCTCAAAGTTAAAGGAGTTGCCTGATTTCTCCACGGCACAAAATCTTGAAATAATGAGCCTCAGATTTTGTGTAAATTTATGCAGTATTCATCCATCAATCTTGTCTCTTCCTAAACTTGTTTCTTTGGATCTAGAGGGGTGCATCACACTAAAGAATCTTCATGGGAATAACCATTTGAAATCTCTCAAGAAACTCAACCTAAATTATTGCTCTGCTCTCAAGGAATTTTTGTTGTCATCAGAAGAAATGAGAAGTTTAAGTTTATTTGGTACTGGTATCGAAACCTTGAACTTGCCATTTGGACGGTACAATAAACTTGAAGAGCTATATCTCGGTGGGGCTCTCAGGAACTTTCAAGTAAATGAGCTAAGTAGCTTGACATCTCTTAAAATATTCTCTCTTGATCGTTTTGAAGGAAGAATAGTCAAATCAAAATTATTCATTCTGTTTGATGCGTGGTGTTCGTTAGAAGAATTGAGGTTGACAGACTGTGAGGTTTCTGAGATCCCTGATAATATCAGTGCCATGTCATTGTTGAAGATTCTATCACTACGAGGAAGCAGCGTTAAGAGTTTGCCAGATAGCATCAAGCATCTTTCAGAGCTCAGAGAAATTGATTTGGGTAATTGCAAGAGCCTTAGGTCCTTACCAGAACTTCCATCCTCCCTTACTCATTGTCATCTCCACGAATGCCAATCACTGAAGACCTTCAGTTTCCCACTAATGCGAGCAATACATAACTCTAGTGAGGTTAGAGTTTGTTATCTCGGAAGCACAATCCCAGAGGGCTTCAAATATTCCCAGACCGCTAAGAGCTCTATTAGTATTGAGCTTGCACCAGCTTCTTCTGACCATTTATTGGGTTTCGCTTCTTGTTGCATTGTTTCCCCATCGACGCTGCTACGAGTTGACAGAAAATTCCACTTTGAAGATGAAAAGATCTATTACGAGAGTGACAAGATCATATTCCTTATGAATCCGAGTACAGATCATGTTTTTTTATGGTATGATCCAGTGGATCGCATGTTGAAGGAAAACCAAAGAAGGCGATTTGATGAGGGCGGCACTTACAAGTTTGCATGTGAATTCTTCTACGGAGTTTGCTCCGATCGTTCTGCGGATGAATTTAATGACGGGATAAAAAGGTGTGGAATTTGGCCAATATATGCATCAGAATTACAGGAAAAGTGGAATTCAGGCTAGAGACAGATGCTGTTATAGGCAGTACCAGCCAGCACCCTAATGTTGAAGTGTCCCAACATCAGCCGGCACGTTATTTCGTTAGGAGAAGCGCTCGTGTGCGCCAGAGGACAGGGAACTTGACCATGATGCCGTACTCTTTGAGAACGAGGAGAGGCCGAAATGAGCGCACGGCCCCAAAGGATAACAAAAGAATCACTCGATGATGCAATTCCAGGTCCAATAATTTTTTTAGTTCTTTATGGCCTCCATCCATGTATGAAAAGAATTATTTATTCTCATTGTGATTGGCCTTTGGGTCTCATGCCCAGCATCCATTAAAATAATAAATAAACATTAGAAAAATCTCCAAACTAAGCTACTACATGTATATGCAACCATCTCTAATTTCTATCCACAGGCATGTGCAACCAAAAATTGTAGAGATAATGGATTCATTGATTTTTAATTCTTTTAGGGTGTGTTTGGTATGAGGGATTTGGGTGGGGGGAGGGGAGGGAAGGGGAGGGATTTTAATCATTTCCCCTTGTTTGGCAACACACAAATTTTAGGAGGGGAAGGAAAATTTTTTAAAATTTCCCCTCCCCTCCAAAATTGGGAGGATTTGGAGAAAAATGGTAATATTTTGTCATATTATGACCATTATGCCTATATTTTGTCATGTTGTGACCATTATGCCCACGCCTTAAATAAAATAAGAGTAAAATTGTCCATATTAAAATATTTTCCCCTCCCCTCCCCTCTTTTTTTAAATCCAAACAAGATGATATTAAAATCCTTCCACTCCCCTTCCCTTCCCTCCATTAAAATCCCTCCCCTCTCCTTCTTCTCATTGAGCCAAACATACCCTTAGTATGCCTTAGTCCCCTGCTCTCCAAGTTCTGGTTTCTCACCAAGAAGTTGATGCTATGGGTCGACTGTTAGTAAATATTATGTATACATGTAGATATTAACAATGTATAACAGTAAGTATTTTGGTCTTCTTCATAGCTGGTCAATTTCCAAGGTCCATGTGATTTTTTGCTCTGCTCTTCACTAATGTTAACGATATCATATAAGTCTGAATTGCATTCGTGCACATCTTGGAATTAGAGACAACCCTTGTGCAGAATAAAACTTAGAATGAAAAGAAATATAGATGCCATATATATTATGTACTACGCCGGTCTTAAATAACATTACAAAAAGAGTCTTATATTTAGAATTAGAAGAGTATTTCACCTGTTTAACTTTGCATATCACATAATATTGGTTCGGTGGACCAATCCAATTATGAACAGAGCATGTGAAGCCTGTTTTTCATCACCGACAGGTCCAGGAGGATCGAGGCGTGCGACATGAATGTAACAATCATCAGCTTCATTTTACCAGTTGGCCAACAAGTGAAGAGCTCTGAACCATTTGAGTTGTTAATTGAGGTGTTGTTTCTTGTCTTTTTCCTGGTAATTTGGTTCTGCTTCGTCTGCAGTATCACAGGTGGAAACTATTACAGTGTGGGAATGACAAGAATGATATGCGATTGTGAGCCATTTGGATAATATGCCAAACTTGGTGGTTCTGTTTGTCTTTGGCTTTTATGCTTTCGTTTGTTGACTTCAGAAAGTGAACTGATTTTTTCTACTCAAAATTTTTTTGTCAAATCAGATATTATATTTGTCCAGAAGTAGTCTTCATTTTGTCTTTCTCACCACTAACAGGTGATAAAATCATCAAATCTGTTTGCTGTATCTCAGAGCAGCGTAATGAATTCCTTGTTGTCTGATGATCGAATAAAGTCTCTGTTTTTCCTTTCAACAGAACCAACCAGTGTCACTGATTGTTTCTGGTAACATGGGTTTTGTCCCATTTCATATCCGAAAACTAGAGATAAAAAAAAATGATGTATTTATATATAAATATCAAGGAAAGCCTATGAAGCTAGTACTGTATCGCCATTATACTTCCAAAAAATTGTTTTCATGAGTTTATTGATCGTCAATTTCACCTATTTCTTTGTTTATTGGCTTCGTTTAAGTGAACATTATTTTTAAATAAATTTTATGGATATTTATTAGTTGTCAATTTCTCAAGTCCTTTTGATTTTTGACTCTCGAGTCTTTGAGAAAGCCAAAATGAAAACATGACAGTATGCAATAAAAAAAACTGTATTATTCTTCTTGTTTTCTTACCCCTTGTCACTACAATCGAAAGTAAACTGAGTACTTTGCTGCAATTTATAGCAAAATATTTCTCCGATCCTAAATATAAAACCTTTTTTATAATGTAATTTATACTATAAAAAGGATTTTATATTTAGGACCGGAGGAGTAATTAAGAAATTAAATTAATTGTACGATAATTTTTGAAGGATTCATAGACACATTATGGGAAAGAAATCCTTGAAAAGGGAATATCAAATTTTGACAAAGCAACATTGGAAATTGAAATTTCCATCAAGTCAATCATAAACCAAGTTTATTTTTCATTTGTCATTGTGAATGTGAAATGTAATTAATAAACGATTCAGTATTAAAACTTTTTGTGTGGGTAGCAAGTGTGTGGAACAGGGAAAGTGATTTCATTTAAAATTGCCGAGTATAATTATATCATAGGAAGCCGATTATTGGCCAAAACTATATTATCCTACTAAACCATTGCGGGAAACAGAGACTAAAGGGGTGTTTGGATGGCATGAGAAGTGCTTCTAAAAGATATTTTTTCACAAATCGAGATAAACTCCTCCATATATTTACTTTGTATATCGTAAAATCACTTCTTAAATCATAATTTGGTTTGTATCCAAATACTTCATAAAAACATAGTGATTATGGAAAACTGCTATCAGCCGAACCTCTGATGGCCCAATATCAACAGAACGAACTACTTAGGATTCGACCCAAGTCCAGCCAAGGCGGAGCAGAGCACACGGGGTGAGAAAGAGCATAGGAAATTAATATTATCAACTTTTGAAAATCAAAGGCACTTCCCTAATTTATGTAAGGTAGGTCCTGTTTCTGGTGAACAAATATTATTCTTGATGTTATGATTTTTTACCTTAAGCCGCCTATATTTAATAATTCTCAGATAGAAACCGGAATGTTGGATTAATGAGGATGATGTGGCATCCTACATAAAATCAAAAATAGCATCCGTATGGGTTAATAATTTTATATAATTATATATATTTTTCATAGAAGGGTTAGAATGCCATTTGTGTTTAAGAATAACAAACCCTAATCTCTTTTATCTCCTTACTGCGGGCTAACTCAACTTTCAATTCGTAAAAAGAACCTCTCGTTGGGCAGATTAACATTTTGATTTTCAAAGTGTTTGTGTTTTCTTTAGTTGCCTGTACTGGGTTCTGCATTGGATCAATGTTCATGTCCTCATGGAATCATCTATTTGCAATTGTCTAGTCTTTGTGCTTTTTTCGATCCCGATTTCAGTCAATCACCCATCGATTTTACCACAGCAACATTTATAGCTGTGTGATCTCTGTTTTTGGTTTTATGATTTTAATTTCTATTTTTCTGGTTTAGAGAACAAGCGATCCAGATGGGACTCTAATTTTGTGGAAAAGGGCTGTATTTTCTTTGCCAGGATGGTGGCGTTGTGGTTGATGGCGGCCTGCGGCACGGAGCTGCAAAGAAATTAGGGATTTTTTTTTAATGACAAAATGACAATTTAAACCTTCTTTAAAAATATATATGTATATAATTATCATAAAATTATAACTCATGCAAATGGCAAGAAGTTGGATGTTACGTAGGATGTCACATCCTTATAATTTGACCCGGAACTCAGGAGAGTTTTTATATTTTAGCCCAATTTTTAATATCTAAAATTTGAATTCATTTTAGTTTTGATCCTTGAGATTTAAAATAAGTAGTTTTGGCCCTAAATTTCACCTAATTTTTGTTTGGGTATCTAAAATTTGAAACCAGAGGATTTGTTTCCTGAAATTTGATGTCATTTTGGTTCACTTAAATACTTTTAATCCTTGAAACAGTTTTTTTTAAGGATAAAAATTAAAGTGAGATCAAATTCTGAAGATTAGAACAATTGCCGGCTTCAAATTTTAGAGAGAACTAAAATAATAATCAGCTCAAGAAAAACTAAAATAATGTTAAATTTCAAGAACCAAAATCATTGGTTTTAAATTTCAGAGATCAAAACCAAAATTAAATTAAATTTCGGTAACTAAGAATGATATTAAGCCTTGATGTACATAACGGAAGAATAAATTCTTCTTGCAGGAATGACATTAATATGACTTAAGGATGGCGAAAATATTCGGGTAGCTTAAATAACTCAATGTAATATTAGTCTCAGCAAAATAATGCAATTTCATGTGTAAATTTCACCACGATCAAGTTAATAAAGGATGGAATAATTCAACGGATCGCATATTAAAGGAAACCCAAGGAACGCGATTTGGCGAGGGCGCTACTTGAAAGTTGGTGTGTGAATTCTTCATCAGAGATCGCTTTGATTCTCGTGTGGTTGGGTATCAGAATTACATGAGAAAATTCAGCAAATGGGACTAAAGCTGCAGAAGGGTGATTTCCTGCACTATACCATTATTTTATCCAAATGCATTTTTTTTGGTTGGGGGTTTGGTCCTTAATATAATATAAGAGTTTGTTTGACTTTCATTTTGGTCCTAAATATAAGGTTCCAATCAATTTTATCTCCCATATTCATCTTTTTTTTTTCCAAAATAGTCCTTATAATAATACTGAACATTGGGTGAGGGTGCCGCGTACAAGTTTGCATGTGACTTCTCCGTTTTAAATCGCTTTATTTCTGGTATATATGGATTGGATCACTTGATAAAAGTGGGTGGACTTTGACCAATATATGCATCAGAATTGCAAGAGAAAATGGAACTAAGGCTGGAGAAGGATGCTGTCACGAGCAATACCAGCCAGCACCCTAATGCTGAAGTATCCCCACATCAATCAGCACGTGATTCCGTTAGGAGAAGCACTCGTGTGCCAGAGGACAGAGAACTTGAGCGCGAT